TTCTGTATGGTCCTGCAATTGTGCACATAGGTATTTGCCAGCTGATTTGAAAAGTGATGTTCATGTAAAAACCTGCATGTGGATCTTTATAGCAACTTTATTCATAATTGCCCTGACCTGGAAGCACCCAAGATGTGCTTCGGTAGGTGAATGGGTAGATAGACTGGTCCATCCAGACAGTGGAATATTATCTGGCACTAAAAGGAGATGAGCTACCAAGCTGTGAAAAGGCGTGGAGCGTCCTTAAGTGCATGTTGCTAAGTGAAAGAAGGGAGGCCGAGAAGGCTGCATATGTCTGCTTCTATTCATAGCACATTCTGGAAAAGGCAGAGCTGTAACAGACTGTAAACGAGTCAGTTTATCAAGTTGGTGGTGGGCTGGGGAAGCTGAGCAGATGAAGCACGGATTTTCTAGGTCAGGGGACTGTTCTGTGTGGTGCTGTTGTCGTGTGTGTGGCATCGAGCATTCCTCGGAACATGCGGAACTTGACAGCAGAGTGAACGGAATGTAGCAGATTTTAAGAATTCACTTAGGAGGTTGGAGGAGTCCCATGGGGGAATGCAGACCGATGGGTTCTACTTGTGTTACAAATGTTTAGAACCATGGCACAGCACGGAAGGGCTGGGGGAAAGGTGCCGACGTGCACCTGCAGGAACAGTGAGGTCCGTGAGGCTGCAGGCAGAGGAGCCAATCTCTAGCCCTGCTTGATGAGGGTGCTGCCCAGAGGCACTGAGCATTTCCCATGCTGCTGTCCGCGCAGCTGGGACTGCACAGCTAAGACAGTGGTGGCTTCTCACTGTCCCCTGACGTGCTGGTGCTCGTCAGCTCACCAGGTCTGCGTTGGCCGGCCCACGGCTGCAGTGACATGGCAAGTGTGAAGGTGGGCGTGGGGTCTGGGTGGTTGGGGAAGGCAGTGAGGAGGTCAGCAGGCAGGAAAGGAGAGAAAGGAGGGGAGACTGAAAGACTGTTACTCTGCTCAGCTGCTGCCACAAGTGGCACAGACTAGAGGGCTTGAGCAACAGGGGCTTATGTTCTGCCAGCCTCCGGAGGCCAGAAGTCCAAGGTCAAGGTGCTGGCACAGCTGGTTTATGGGTAGCTGCCTTCTCCCCTGTCCTCACATGGCGGAGAGCTCTGGTGTCCCTTCTTATCAGGACACATTCCTATTGGATCAGGGCCCCATCCTTGTGACCTCATCTAACCTTAATCACTTCTTTACGGCCATGTCTCCAAAGCTTCCACCTATGAATTTGGTGGAAAAATTCAATCCATAACAGACCACAATAGGAGAGAAGGTTTGATCAGTCTGAGAGTTGTATTTAGAGAAAGGCTATAAGCAGGTGCAGTGTCTCACTTCTATAATCCCTGCAGTTTGAGTGGATGAGGCAAAAGGATCGATTGAGGCCAGGAGTTTGAGACCAGCCTGAGCAACATAGGGAGACCTAGTGTCTACAAAGAATAGAAAGAAAAAAAATTAACTGAATGTAGTGGTGCATCTTGTAGTCCCAGCTACTTGGGAGTCTGAGGCAGGAGGATCACTCCAGCCTAGGGTTTCAAGGCTGCAGTGAGCTATGATGATGACACTGCACTCCAGCCTGGGCAACAGAGAGAGACTCTGTCTCTTCAAAAAAAAAAAAAGCTATTGATGTTTGATTTGAGTGGTGGCAGGAGAGGAGTAGATGGACCTCCAAGTTCTGAAAGTGTAAGTGAAATAATTACCTTTGTCTTTTTAAAAAGGACAGAATATATTTGCCTGTGGATCAGAGTCAGTTTGAAGTGAGTAAGGCTCAGGCTAGAACATCTGAACTGGACAAAAACTTCTGGGCAGGCAAGAAGCTATTGTCAGGCTTGATTTGGAGGTGGAAGAGCTGTGTCCTGGCTCTGCTCCCCACCAGAAAGTTTGTCATTAACTTGCTAGGTCATGTCTAGTTCAAAGGAACTGTCATGTTTTAATACAAAGCATGAAGGCTAGGCTTACCTTCTGCATTATGATTCAGTGTCTCTGAGTGGGTACCTTTCCCTTCTCTGCCTGGGCAGTGATTTACTTGTCTGTTTTAAAGACTGGGTGAGGTAGGGTATCTGCTGAAGCCTGTGGGATCAGAAAAGAAAGATGTCAGCATGGAGAAATGAGACCAGATCCAGCAATGACACTCGGTGAGCCTCCTTGGGCCGTTGGTGCTTGGTGGCTGTGCTGAGGGGCTCAGGCCCAGGAGGACAGGATCGGGTGGGAGTGGACATGGTTTTCCCTGGGCAGACCTGCTGGTGGGGGTCGTGCTGGGTCGCCTGGTGGAGGGTCCAGCCCCCAGAGTCCTCTGCTTGTGGCTTTCTTTCCATTTTTAGTGAAGAGAATGATTGCAGTGATCTGTGATCTAGTTTTCTGAAAGTAGGGAAGTTCAGTTAATTCTAGATCGTCTGAACTGGTTGAGGGGCTGGAGGAGAGCAGTGATCAGAACTTTTTCCTTCTGGGTTTTGGTGTCGAGGAGCCTTTCTGCAGAATTACCTTTGTCCTTGTGCTGAGCTCAGTCTAACAATGAAATAAAGTTGCATTTTATGACCATGTGCCTGTGCTGAGAGGTGGGCTAGAGCAGTGGTCCCCAGCCTTTTTGACACCAGGGATGGGTTTCATGGAAGACAGTTCTTCCAGGGACAGGGTTGGGGGGAGGCGGAGCTCAGGTGGTGATGAGAGTTATGGGCAGTAGCCAGAACAAATAGCTTCAAATACACATGAAGCTTTCCTCACTCACCTGCCTCTCATCTCCTCACCTCCTGCTGTGCCCTTCATTCCTACCTTTCTAGGAAGATAATTCTTTAGTGCATGGGGTGGGGAAGAGGGATGGCACGGGGTGGGAAGAGGGGTGGCACGGGGTGGGGAAGAGGGGTGGCACGGGGTGGGGAAGTGGGGTGGTGCGGCAGAGCTCTGCAGCCTGGTCCCTACCAGGCTGGGCTGGGGACCACAGGGCTAGAGGATTCGTGAGTCTAGGCAGTAACCGATCAGGTTATACAGTGCTGGCAGTGGCATTTCAGAATGACACCTGTCTTTAAAAGGGGAGTCTGAAGATGCACTCCTTGTTTTGTACAAAGTTTCATGTTAGTTTAGTTCTATTCATGTGTCTACTGCTTGGTAGGATGCCTGGCAGTGATGTATGTGGTTAGGTGTTAGATCTTTTTCTTTTCCTTTGACAAAAATAGGAATGGATGCAATTATATTTTAATACAGAATAATAATGGCTCATGTATACATTTTTTATTTGTGCCAGACGTGGTGGTCTGTGTTCTGTGTTTCTTGTTTAATCTTTGTGGCCCAGCTGTGTGGTAGGGACTTTGGTCTATGAGGAGAGGAGTTCTGGGCCTGTCCCAGAGCCCCACAGCTGTGTGTCACCAAGCAGGCTTTGCAGCTGGCAGCTCAGCTGCCAGGTGACCCGTGCTGGGCCATGCACGTCTTCTGTGCATGGCCCAGCATACTGGCTTCTTTGTTAGCTCTGTGTGACTTGTATCTGTGACTTCATTCATCTTTTTGCTTACTTAATTGCATGTAACCTACAAAAGACAAAATGCATTATTTGCATTGATTTTCTCAGTAGGGGTTGGAGTTAGTGATACTTGACCAGAACACTGCAGTGGTCCAGCTGATTGGTGGACACCAGTGGGGAGGGCGGACTGGGATGTGGCTGCGTTCCTGCTGACCAAACCCAATTGTCAGCGTGGCTGCAGGTGTCGTGACTGCAGTCAGCTGAGCACATTCTGGGCTGAGCATAATTGTTGACTTACAGAAAGTTCCGAAGCATCCATCTCATTTGTGTAAAACCTTTCCTCCCTACCTTTACCTCTGTTTTTTTAGGTTGGAGGTTTGGCATTTAATGAGAATACTTGTTTTCACCTTCAGAATGTTACTTTGATGTACTTTGTTCTGGTTGCATATACTTTTTTTTTTTTTTTGAGACAGAATCTCACTCTGTTTCTTGGGCTAGAGTGCCGTCGTATCAGCCTAGCCCACGGCAACCTCAAACTCCTAGGCTCGGCCGTTTGCGGTGGCTCACGCCTGTAATCCTAGCACTCTGGGAGGCCGAGGCGGGAGGATTGCTCGAGGTCAGGAGTTCAAAACCAGCCTGAGCAAGAGCGAGAGCCCGTCCCTACTAAAAATAGAAGGAAATTAATTGGCCAACTAAAAATATATAGAGAAAAAATTAGCTGGGCATGGTGGCGCAAACCTGTAGTCCTAGCTACTCGGAGGCTGAGGCAGGAGGATCGCTTGAGCCCAGGAGTTTGAAGTTGCAGTGAGCTAGGCTGATGCCACAGCACTCACTCTAGCCTGAGGAACAAAGTGAGACTCTGTCTCAAAAAAAAACAAAACTCCTAGGCTGAGGCAGGAGGATCGCTTGAGCCCAGGAATTTGAGGTTGCTGTGAGCTAGGCTGATGCCACGGCACTCACTCTAGCCTGGGGAACAAAGTGAGACTCTGTCTCAAAAAAAAGAAAACAAAACTCCTAGGCTCAAGTGATCTTCCTGCCTCAGCCTCCCAAGTAGCTGGGACTACAGGCTTGCGCCACCATGCCCGGCTAATTTTTTCTCTATATATTTTTAGTTAGCCAATTAATTTCCTTCTATTTTTAGTAGGGACGGGCTCTCGCTCTTGCTCAGGCTTGTTTTGAACTCCTGACCTCGAGCAATCCGCCCGCCTTGGCCTCCCAGAGTGCTAGGATTACAGGCGTGAGCCACCGCGCCTGGCCTGCCCTTCAGTGTTGTAACATGTGCCAGTTCTTCATTCCTGTGTACAGCTGAGCAGTGTCCATCATACGAACATGCCACATTTTGTTCATTCCTCCATCAGTGGGTGTTTGGGTGGTTTCCATCTGCGGCTGTTGTGAATGATGCTGCTATAAACATTCGCCTGCGTGTTTGTGTGAGGACATACGTTTTCAGTTCTCCCTGGCATGTCACAGTTATTTTTTAGTGACTGTTTTCTCATGTCAATTCTGGGCCATGTTCTTTGCTTTCCTTCCCAGGAACGTGAACAGGAATGTGAACAGGAACGTGAGCCTGAGATTGCTGAGCTTGTGGGCAGACCCAATGAGCAGCAGCAGACACAGGTGATGCAGCAGCGGGGCCCTGGGCACGGAGCAGTCGGCCCCCACATGGTCACCGTGGTTCTTCTGTGATTTTTACCAGGGTTGGGGAGGGTTCCCGGCAGGCAGGGTGGGTGCTGCGGGCCTGTTGTCTCCTCTCTTCTGTTGGATTTGTTTCCATGTTCTTTGTGTGGGGTTCTCACAAGGGCCAGTGGAGGGATGCCCAGGGGCAGGGTGTCTGGCCGCGTGAGTGATGCGCCCTGACCTTGGAGCTGGCCATGCCCCCATTAGCTGAGTGTCCGCTCTGAGTGCAGACTGCCTTTGGTGACCGAAGGAGGTGGTGTGTGCAGGTGGGAGGCACATCTGGTGATGGCGGGGCTCGGGACGCAGCATGGAGCCCTGGGAGGGAGGGGCTGTGGGTGACGTGGGTGGGAGGGTGGGTGACCTGCACTGGCCTAGGAGCTGGTCGGCATCCTGCCTCTGCCCACGGGGAGGGCCCTGCCGTTTTCACGTCTGTGCTCTGCTTACTCCTGTCCTGTCTCATGTCCACTTTCTGCGCCTCACCAGAGATGCTTCTCTCCGCTGCAGACGGTGCACAGCCTTGAGCTGGAAGCGCTGCGCCTGAGTCTGAGCAACATGCACACGGTGCAGCTGGAGCTGACACAGGCCAACCTCCAGAAGGAGAAGGAGACGGCGCTTACGGAGCTGCGGGAGATGCTGAACAGCCGGCGCGCCCAGGAGCTGGCCCTGCTGCAGAGCAGGCAGCAGCACGAGCTGGAGCTCCTCAGGGAGCAGCACACGCGGGAGAAGGAAGAGATGGCGCTCAGGTGTAGCCAGAAAACAGGTATGCAGCCGCTCAGGTGTGGACAGAAAGGTGGACAGGAAGCGGGTGCTGCTCATACTCATGTGCAGATGGACAGGTGGACAGGAAGTGGGTGCTGCTTACACTCAGGTGCGGATGGACAGGTGGACAGGAAGCGGGTGCTGTACGCTCAGGTGTGGACAGACAGGTGGACAGGAAGCGAGTGCTGTACACTCAGGTGTGGACCGACAGGTGGACAGGAAGTGGGTGCTATACACTCAGGTGCGGACGGACAGGTGGACAGGAAGCAGGTGGTGCTGACACTCAGGTGTGGACGGACAGGTGGACAGGAAGCGGGTGGCTGCAATCCACTGGTTGACCTGGGTGCTTTTTAAATTTGGTGATTATCTGGCCTAAACTGAGCTCTTTACATGTGTAATATTTACTTTTATGTTTTAATTTTAATGGTTTTGGTACTTTTTGTTCACCTATTTGAAGTGTACAACCTGGGGTCTTGTAGCACAGTTACAGAGCTCACAGCAGGCCAGTTTGGAGCACCCATCTCCAAGGAGAACCCGCACCCCACAGCCGCCTCCGCGTCCTGCTGGGAGGCAGCCGCAGGTCTCCAGCCACAGGTGTGCTGGAAAGTCTTCTGCCGTGGCCACCTGTCACTCACTCTCATGCTGGAGGAACTGTTTTCTTAGTTTCTTGTGACACCCTCCCATGTTTCTTCATGTAATTTCAAGCAAGCACAAATATATGTTTTTATTTTCCTCCTTCCTTTTCTATAATATAAAACGTCTGCCTCTTGCCGCATCCATGCCACTTCTCTGTGGTGCTCCTGGGCTGGCATCATGCCAGTCCACCGAGGCCCTGCCCTGCTCTGGTCCCCGGTGCCGCGTGTGGCTGGCCTGGAGGTCCTGACTGTCCCTCTGGACGTGGCAGCACGTTGTCCGCAGAGGCCTCATTCTCAGCTGTGAGGCCGCCTCCTAGCCAGGCGCTGTCTGCTCCTACTCTACACCCACCCGTCCGGACGTCCTCCTGCTGCTTCCTGCCCCAATCTCCAGGCGTGCTGCACCCACCACCCACCTCAGGCTGTGACATACCTTTTCACACCTGCCCCTTCCTCTGCCCAATACCTGTGGTTCCTAAGGAGGCAACTAACCATCCAAGTTGTTGCTTGAGCCCGTCTTCTTGGGCTTCTTCTCTCTTGGGTTGAAGGCTGTTGGACCCTAGAGCCACCCTGCAGTGCTTCACCTGGAACTGGACTTGGTGGGAGCCTGAGCTAAGGGCCCCGGGTTTCTCGTGGCCAGAGAGTAGAGTGACTTTCAGGGTGGGAGTCCCAGGGCCTGACCTTTACCTGCTCTCTTAGGTTGTTCCATGTGGCTGGGCTTAATGTTGGCAGAAATACACGTTATTTAAACTACACACATCACAGGCAGGCCCTGTTGTCCTGGGAAGGTCGACAAGTGCCCGTGGAGCAGCCAGTGGGTACAGTTATTAGAAAAGTTGAGACTAAGTGGTCTGAGGTACTTTTTTTATTTCTTGCAGCTGAGCTGAAGGAGAAGTTACAATCAGAGATGGAGAAAAATGTCCAAATGATAGAGGTAATATGATTGATTGGAAAAATAATTCATGCCAGGTACAGTGGCTACCTGTAATCCTAGCACTCTCAGAGGCCGAAGTGAGAGGATCGCTTGAGGTCAGGAGTTCAAGACTAATCTGGGCAATAGCTGAGACCTCGTCTCTACTAAAAATAGAAAAAATTAGCCAGTGTGTGCTGGTGCTCGCCTATAATCCCAGCTACTCAGGAGGCTGAAGCAGGAGGATCTTGAGCCCAGGAGCTGGAGGCTGCAGTGAGCTGTCATGATGCCACTGTGTGCCCAGGCGACAGAGCCAGACTCTCTCTTTAAAAAGAAAACACAATGTAATTCATGTGTATATTGTATTTCTTTTTTCAGCACATCCCGTAGCACCCTGTCCTTGCCCTCACTTGATTCAAACAGAATCTGATCAAAGCTTTGTTGGAATGTGCCAGTTGAAAGTGTATAGCATTCTTTTCTTTGTATAATTTGTATTTGTCAGAAGATTTTTTCCACACAATGGCGCTCACCTGTCCTGCCTAGGCTGGGCTTCTGCATGGCTCCATGGCCCTGCCCGGAGCTGTGCTCTGGTGCACAGCCTCTGTCCCCCCAGACTTGTATCTGGTAGAGGGAGGTGGACGTGGCAGTTCAGTGAAATGCTCGGGGTGCAGGTGCTGGGCGTTTCATGGAGCAGCTCCCTGGGAGAGCTTTCCGGTGGGGCAGGGTGCCGTGGGTGAGTGGGAGGTGTTGTGACCATGGGTGGCACCAAGTTGGGGCCAGGCCCCTGGTGGAAGGGGGTGATCCCCAGCCCATGCTGAGTGTGAGGTGTGGCCTGAGCCAGGTGTGCTGGCCTCATCCTCAGACCACGGTTGGAGCAATGGCGAGCAACGGCTGTCAGCCTGGGACTCAGATGGCGCTCCGGCCTCCTGCCCCCTGGCCCAGGCGGTGGGGACAGAGCCCAGCCCCAGAGAGACGTTGGCAAAGTCGCCGTTGCTCCCCGGATCTTGCAGGGAGGTGGTGCTTAAGCCTTTGAAGGCAGCTGTGTGGATGCCGTGCTGTGTCCCGAGGCCGGTTCTGTTCTGGGACAGGTGGTCTTTGTTCTTGTTCTTTGGACCTCCAGACGCTTCCGTTCCTGTCCTTTCAGCCGTCCATGGAGGGACTGACTGACCACCAAGAACCCGTTTATGGGGACAGTTTAGTTTGGGGGTGATGACTGCCCACGCTTGTTTTGTTTTTTGAGACGGCCTTGCTCTTGTCCCAGCTAAGGTGCAGTGGTGTGATCAGAGCTCACCGCAGCCTCCAACTCCTGATCTCAAGTGATCCTCCCTCCTTGGCTTCCCAGAGTGCTAGGATTGCAGGAGCCAGTCACCCACCAGGCCCCACTCTTGGCTTTTGACTGTTTGACTTAAGTCTCTGTACTACACATAATCAACTATTGACTCTAATTTTCTTTTTCTTTCAAATTAGACCCTGAAGCAAGACTGGGAATCTGAAAGAGATTTATGCTTAGAAAAGCTACGCAAAGAGTTATCTGCAAAGCATCAGCTAGAAATGGAGGATTTACGAAGCCAGTTTCAGGAAGAATTGGCAGAACAGAAAGCTGAGTTGGAAAAGATTTTTCAAGCCAAAAACCAGGCTGAATGTGAGCATCTTATTGAAACGAGCAAGTGTGAAGTGGGAGTGAGCTTCCCTGCGTGACACTGGAGGAGGTGTCATGTGACTCATCCTGTGAGCCTGGCACGCATCTCCTGCCCTTGGTGTCACTTGCGGGCAGTGGAGCACACTTGTGTTGGAGCCCTCTCAGGGTCCTGGCCCTTCCTGCCCGTGGTTCAGGGAGACGCTTTGCACGTTCAGCTGCTGAGCGACCGCCGTGGCAGCAGCATCGCAGCTGCTCACTGTTGACGCTCCCGGTTGCATGTCCCTTGCGACACCGTGGGTTGGATGGCCTGTGGGTCTGTGGTGCTGCCTGCACCTCGTTGTGAGTGTCCCTTCCTCCCCAGGAGAGGGCGGGGAGGGGCTGAGGACAGGTCTGCATGGCCCCTGTGGGCGGGGCCCTTTCTGCGCTAGCCCAGAGTGGGGCCTCGCGTGGCGGTGCTATGTGCACTGTGATCACCAGTCGTGCCGTGTGCGTCGATGTCACTGCTGAGGAGGAGCATGTCTTGTCATGAACTGAGTGACGTCTGTCCTGCTTTCTAGCTACCCTTGAGAATCTGGAAGCTCAATATGAAGCCACCATTAAAAAGTTGCGTGAAGACCTACAGTCCGAACGATGCCGTTACTTAGAAGACTTGGAGTTAAAATTCAAAGAAAAGGAAAGAGAAAAACAGCTAGAGGTAGGCAAGAGCATATTTATATTTAATTACATGATGTATTTGGGAAGTTTTAGAAGATTTTGGAATTGGGCTGTTGCATAGTCTATTATTTGCTAAAACTTAAGTACTATATTTAAAGAGACTCTCAGTGTTTGACAAATAAAAGTATAAGGACAGGGCATATGAGGTTGATTTAATAATTATGTTCACTCTTGAACTCAGAAAATGCATATTCTTTATAAGGGTCTCTGAGACATTTATAGAAATAGAAACATTTATAGAAATTTATAGAAATTCTAAACAGGAGTGTAAAGCCATATTTTCTGACCGTAATTCAATAAACAAGAAATTCCTAAGAAAAGTTAACCAAACACATTTGTGCTGTTATGTATTCAAGACGTTTCTCTAATGAAATACACACAGATGAAAATGTAGGCCATATGGCCAGATCCCCAAGTGCTTTTACTACCAAACCTAAGAAGCAAGCAAACATCCCAGGCATCAGTTCAAGAAATTAAAAAGAAAATAAACTAGAAGCTGGAATTAGCAGTGTGTCCAGCCAGGAGTTACATACTTGAGAAGAGGGAAGAAGTCGGGGTTCAGGGGCCTCAGGAGGTTATCCCGGGCCCCAGGTCCCCCTGCTCAGCGAGAACAGGCCTAACGTGTGCGGGGAGCGAGGCTGGGGCCTGAGTAGCAGCCTGCAGAAGACATGAGTTACTGAGAGGAAAAGGGGGGGCAGCCCCCACCACAGTCAGAGAGAGACTTTTAAAAATCAGTTGTAGTTTTTGTCCTTCTATGGGTGTTTTGACCAGTCCTCACATTGGCAAGACTGTGGGCAATGCCAGCTCTGCCCTGGCGGCCTGGGGCAGTGTGAGCAGATGCTGCAGATGCCAGGCCAGTCTGACCAGGGTCGGCCTTCAGCCTCGGTCCCGAGCATTCTTCGTGCCCCAAGGTGTTCACCACAGCTTGTGACATCTAAGAATCAGTCCCACACATAGTCACTGGGTTGTGCTGTGTTGATCTCTGGGCTCCTGGTGATGTGATAGAGAAACGTTTAGTATCAAAGTGTAAGAGGTGGCTGGGTGCGGTGGCTCACGCCTGTAAGTTCCAGCACTTTGGAAGCCTGAGATGGCAGGATCCCAGGAATCCTGGAGTTCAAGGCTGCAGGGATCTACGATGATGCCACTGTACTCTAGCTGGGTGATAGAGCAAGACTGTCTTAAAAAAAAAAAAAAAGGTGTTAAGAGATAACTTGCTGCTTTAGTGCAAAAATAGTAAAAATGAGAATCCCCCCATTTTGTGAGTGATGGGCACTGAGCGCCAATGCTGTTTCCAAGCCCGCACCAAAGCTAGTGAGCAGGTGGGACGTGCGTGCAGTTGAGACTGTCCCAAACATCTACTCAGCGGCGTGTACGTGGGACTCTGCCACGCTGGGCAGTGCAGGTAGACATGGCCACAGACCGTGGGCGTGCTCACAAGGGAGTGCCGTCCGGCTGTGACCCCTGTGTCCCCTGCCATCTGGCACTCACACACCCGGAAGTTGCTGTCATCCGTAGCGTGCTTTGCAGTGTGGAGTGGTGGCCCACACGGAGCAGACCTGTTCTGATTGCGGCTGTTGCTGGTTTTCCCTGAGTTGCAGGTTTGGGGCGAGCTTTCCCCCAGAGGTGTTTGCGGATGACTTGAGGAACCGCACAAAATACGTTCACTGTGGGGGTGGGCGGGGTCTGTCTCATCCGGGCCTCACCGGACACTGCTCTTTCCCAGTTAGAGACTCTTCAAGCATCGTACGCAGACCTGAAGGCACAGTCTCAGGAGGAAATCCGGCGCCTGTGGTCACAGCTTGATTCTACGAGAACCAACAGGCAGGAACTGAATGGTGAGGAATTTTATGTGGAAAATTTTTTAAGTCCTTAAAAGCTGAAGTTGTGAGTTCTTAATTGTTAAAACCCCAAACTAGAATTTAATAATTGTAGCAGGCACGAAAGAATGATTTTGTAAATTGTTTTACATCTTGAAGATTTACTTGTGTAGTTTCATGATGGAAATTTATTTGCTAGGAGAGAGCCTGAGTTTTTTCCTTAGCAAGTCAGTTGTGTAGCGACGTGTCATCGTGTGCCCTTACACTTGAGATTGACACTGGAGTATTAGATGGACCCGTGGTGTTTACTTTTAACCCAGAAAGTATGGTAAACATGTGGCTCTCCGCTGGCATTTGAGGTTGCAGCACCGTGCCTGCCACACGCTGCCACGTGGACCGTGCTCCCTCAGTGGCTGTGGTGGGCTCCTGTGGCTGCAGCCCCACCTGTGCTGAGGAAGTTCTGCTTCAGGCCCCCGCACAGCTGGGCTCCTCGGAAGACCCCGAGTCCCTGCCCCATCCTTCCACATCAGGCCTCTGCTTAGCGGTGACAACAGGCGCTTCAGGGTGGGCGGAGCCTCTTGCGCCCATAGGCAGGTGGTGGTCTGGCCTGGCGAGGCCACAGGAGATACAGACAGACTGGCATGAGTTTTCTGGAGTTTATAGACGGACTTTTTTTTTTTTTTTTTTTTTTTTTTTTGAGATAAGGTATTGCTCTGTCTCCTGGGCTGCAGTGCAGTGGCATAATCATGGCTCATTGCAACCTCCAATTCCTGGGCTGAAGCGATCCTCCTGCCTCAGCCTCCTGAGTAGCTGGGCCTATAGGCATGTCCTACCACACCCAGCTGATTCTTTTATTTTTAGTAGAGAAGGGGTCTCGCTTTTGCTGAGGCTGATCTTGAACTCCTGAGCTCAAGTGATCCTCCCACCTTGGCCTCCCAGAGTGCTGGGATTGCAGGCGTGAGCCACCGCACCTAGTCCAGACAGAGCCTTTAAACCCACTAATTTTCCCTGTGGATAAATGTGATTTGGAACAAAGATTTGGTCCTTTATCAGAAAGGACCAAAAATACCGCTGCTTGGGAATCACAGTCTGTCACCTGGTGGCTCTGCCTCCAGCCTTGAGCACCGTCTGGTGGCAAAGGTGGGGGTCCTGCCAGTTTGTCTTTCTCTCGGAGTCTGTCCGCACTGGAAGGGGGGAGGGAGCTGGTGGGCCACAGACGGCTGCTTTCATGCATAGGTACTGCTTGTGGCATTGCAAACCCGTCCTGCGTCTGAGGACCCATCCAGAGGACTGTGACGTGGAGTCTCTGGGATGGTGACCAGCTTCAGTCCATATTGCTAGTCCTTGATTGCTGTAGACCCACCAGTGTCTTCTCTGGACCACAGTAGCCATGGGGACATGTTCTCTCATGGTTGTGTTGCTTTTCTGTTGCTATCTAACAAATTATCACAAACTTGGTGGCCCAAAACAACACACATTTATTAGCTCAAAGAAAGTCTGGGATGGTGCGGCTGGGTTTTCTGCCCAGGGTCTCCTACGCCGAAATCTGGGTGTGGCCCATGTCCTGACCTGTGTCTGCTTGCAGGCTCGTTCCGGTCTTGGCAGAGCTGCATCTTTTTTTTTTTTTTTTTTTTTGAGACAGAGTCTCGCTTTGTTGCCCAGGCTAGAGTGAGTGCCATGGCGTCAGCCTAGCTCACAGCAACCTCAAACTCCTGGGCTCAAGCAATCCTCCTGCCTCAGCCTCCCAAGTAGCTGGGACTACAGGCACGCGCCACTATGCCCGGCTAATTTTTTCTATGTATATTAGTTGGCCAATTAATTTGTTTCTATTTATAGTAGAGACGGGGGTCTCATTCTTGCTCAGGCTGGTTTTTTTTTTTTTTTTGAGCCAGAGTCTCGCTTTGTTGCCCAGGCTTGAGTGAGTGCCGTGGCGTCAGCCCAGCTCACAGCAACCTCAAACTCCTGGGCTCAAGCAATCCTCCTGCCTCAGCCTCCCGAGTAGCTGGGACTACAGGCATGCGCCACCATGCCCGGCTGCTCAGGCTGGTTTTGAACTCCTGACCTTGAGCGATCCACCTGCCTCAGCCTCCCAGAGTGCTAGGATTACAGGCGTGAGCCACTGCACCCGGCCAGAGCTGCATCTGGTGGTGCAGGACCAGCATCTGTTGCCTTCTGGCTGTGGCTGAGGCCGCTGGGCCTGAGAGGCCACCACCTCCTTCCACGTGGGGTGCTTTGCTGGGGAAAGTGTTCGCTCTGGGAGTTGCAAATCGAAGCCACGGGAGGGGTCCCTTGTCACACTGTCCGGTTCTGAGATTGTCAGGCTTGATTCCCAAACAGCCTGCACACCACAGGGTCTTACCTGTCTGCTGGTTTTCCATGTCTCATTTTAAGATAATTGCGTGATTTCATCCTGTTACAGAGTTACAGGAGCAGCTCCTGGCGAGAGCGTCTCATGTGGAAGAATTGGAACACCTGAAGCGAGATTTTAAACAGCAGCAGCAGCAAGAAAAAACCCAGCATGAATCTGAACTGGAGCAACTGAGAATTTATTTTGAAGAGAAATTAAGGGATGCTGAGAAAACCTACCAAGAAGACCTGACTCTGTTACAGCATCGGCTGCAGGAGGTCAAGGAGGATTCTCTACTGGAGTCCGTGGAAATCAGGTAAATAAAGCAGTTTCTATCTTTTTTTTTTGAGACAGAGTTTCACTCTGTTGCCAGACTACAGTGCCGTGGCGTCAGCCTAGCTCACAGCAACTTCAGACTCCTGGGCTCAAGCGATCCTCCTGCCTCAGCCTCCCGAGTAGCTGGGAAACAGGCATGTGCCACCATGCCCGGCTAATTTTTTCTATATATTTTTAGTTGGCCAATTAATTTCTTTCTATTTTTAGTAGAGACAGGGTCTCGCTCTTGCTCAGGCTGGTTTTGAACTCCTGACCTTGAGCAATCCACCCACCTCGGTCTCCCAGAGTGCCAGGATTACAGGCATGAGCCACCGTGCCTTGCCAGCAATTTCCATCTTAAATGTGTTTCTAAAATATAGGAACTTTGTCCTGAATTCAGATCTAGTTTTGTTTGTCATTTCATGCCAATGGAGACCAGTAGCCTTTGTTTTAGAAACACACTTCGTGCTCCGGACCCAAGACAAGATAATACTAACGCTAGAACGGAGTCTCTGACCTGCACGTTTCTGCTCGGTCGATGGCATGCACCCCCCCTCCCCCGCCTGGGTCTTGTACCCCTACCCCCACGGTGTCCCTGGCTGGGCCCAGCACAGACTGGCCTTGGCCCCTGCACCTAGGCCCCACCCGCCTTTGCTCTGGAAGCGAGAAAGGGGTCTTTGCACTGTCGGTCTCTGGGGTATGGTGGATCCCAAGTGGAAGAGGGGCATGTGCAGTTTGTAAAACATGTTTTCTGTCTTAGTTCATCTCGTACATGTTTGGAAGAGACACCTGAGAAAGAAAAAACAGGTCGTCTTGACCAACTTGACCTTCAACCTGAACAACATGAGGTAATGGACCAGTCACTGGGCAGAGGCTGCCTTTCATGACCCCTGCGTGTCGTGTTATGGAATCTGTTTGCATCTTCCCTGACTCCTCAGATAGAGGAAGGCTGCTTTGGTATTAGTAGATGCCTCTGGTGAGACCACATGCTATGCTGTGCTCATCTCTTTGTGCACTTTTTTCCCTTTTTCTGAGACATGGTCTGGCTCTGTTGCTCAGGCTGGGGTGTGGTGGTGTGATCACAGCTCACTGTAGCCAGATGCTCCTGGACCTAAGTGGTCCTCCTGCCTTGGCCTCCCAGACTGTTAGGATTACAGGCACGCCACCATTCTCAGGCTCTTGATGCACTTTTTGGTCAAGGGCATAGATCCGGAAGGGGGAGGAGGGGTCAGGAGAGCAAGTCCTTCCCTCAGCCCCTCACCCACCATAAGGGAGGCCTTCTCCTGCCAGGCATGTCTCATACTGCGTGTCGTCAGACTTGACTTTTGACACTTTGAAGGATGTGAAATTGTGTCTTTGCTTAGAGTTACGTGTTAAACATCTCACTGGCTTTTATGTTTCTTTTTTCTCGAATTGCCTCCATGCCATTGGTTTCTGTTATTTTTATTATCTGTGGAGCAGCGCTGTCCAAACAGTGCTTCCTGGGATGATGGGCAGTTGTGGGTCTGGGCCACCAATGTGGTCTCCAGGACGTCCTGTGAGCATCTGCTATGTGGCTAGTGCTGGAGGTCGCCATGGTGATTCCCTGGAGCATCAGCCCTCAGTGCAGGTGCACTGAGCTTCACCTGGGCACTGACTCTTGGTCAGAATGGCTGCTGTTTTGGTCCTTTAGGTTGTGTCTTAGCTCAGGTGGCATCACTAAGTCCCACAGACTGGGTGGGTCAAACCGTGGACATGGATTCTCTCCCAGGCCTGCAGGCGAGCAGGGAGCGGCAGGGCTGGCTCCTTGGAGGCCTCTCTCCTGGCCGTGCAGTCTGTGCTCCTCCCTGTGTCCTGGCAGGGTCGTCCCTCTGTGCGTGTCTGTGTCCTCACCCCCTCTTCCGACAGGGCACCGGTCAGACTATCAGGGCCCACCCTGGTGACCTCATTTAATCTTAATTCCCTCTTCAAAGGCCCTGTCTCCAAATACAGTCACATGCTGAGGTCATGTGGTCAGAGTCTCAACATATGAATTTCGGGGCACACAGTTCAGCCCCTCCTGGGGGTCTCCCACTCCCTGTGGATCCCAGGAGAGGGTGTGAGGTGCTGCCCCCCCCTTTTTTTTTTGAGCCAGAGTCTCGCTTTGTTGCCCAGGCTTGAGTGAGTGCCGTGGCGTCAGCCCAGCTCACAGCAACCTC